AGAGGCTCAATGTCGTATTCTCAGAGGCCTACGGTGTATAGAATCCATGTCAACTTGGTCAGCATGCATGAGACAAGCAACAAGGTAGGGCAGACTGAAAAAGCCCAATTCGGCAAGCCTGGTCTATCATCTTGACTTTTTTCAGAGGGCCATGATTTCAGCGTCATGGGGTAAATTCCGACAAGCCGACTAGTGGGCGAATTTGCAGATCTTGTGTTTTTCTCGCTGATGTCATGATGCGCGGTGTAGCTTCAAGTTGGGGTTTCTCCTCATGAAGGGATTCGGGTGCTTGGGACGTGGTTCGCCATGATAGGACGTGAGAACGGCTTATGTTGCCGTCTGTCCTGCTGTGGCTCATGTCTGGCTGAGGCCGTCGTGATCGATCGATGCAGCGCCTTATGCAGGGCGGGCTGTTTCGACGGTCCTGTAATCTAGAAGCCGGGCCCCAGCTCTTAGAGATTAAGGTAAACTGACAGCCCAGTCCACGATTGCCTCGATGTTAGCGCAGTGCCGTGCCGGGCCAAACAGGGAACAAGCTCGGCTTGATTCTCAGCTCCTCCTCACGACGATCCATGGCCCCCTCCCACGAGAAATACAGCCAAAGCCGGCGCATCGGTCTAAGTCATTGCCAGCCAGCCGCATGGGACACGACATGTCACTACGACACAGGACTGAAAGCCGCGAAGCCGTCTTAAGCCGCCTCAGACACGGGCGAGCACGTTGGAACTGAACTGGCGTCGAGATCCTTGCTTTGTGTGCAATGAGGAGATGGGAGAAAAGGTGTGTTGTGTGATATACCGTCTTTTCATCACCATAGGATCGCACGTGTCGCCTGGCTAGCAGCTCAATGGCGACGGCGATGCAGTAGCGGGAAACGCATAAGGTAGGCAGCGTCAGGTGACGGATGAGCGAGTGTTTTGACGTGATGGGAGTTGAACTATGGGAAGGGAAACTCGTCGTTTTTCTCACCCAGAATCTGATCAGGCAATTCGAGGCCATGGGGCCTGAGGCTGGTGATGTCAAGGGCCGTCAGCGTTGACCGAGTCAAGGCAAGCCAAGGGTGGCTGGATTTGGTGCATATGATTGATGATGCCCATGAGATGCGATGCGATGGGTCCCCAAACCCGCCTAGAACGAACCCATCAAACGGATGCTAAAAATAAAAAATCCATGGAAAATACTGTACTGTACAGTAACTCCGTACGCTCAGTGCGACAACGTCTCCTCGCGTACAGATGAGAAACAGCCCGTATTCGTGAAACCCACCCCCTTGGAGCGTCAAACGAAGAGTGTTGAGGGCTGGTGTTGCTAAACGCTAACAAGGCCCATGTCACAGGAACCCCCGGACCTCGGGATCGATTCGCTATTACCTTGGTACTATTAGACTGTAGTAAAGTAGGTACACACACGGTTCTGTACAGTTCTGTACAGGCGCTACCTCTCTTGAATTTTATTTTGTTGAGTTGCTGGATGACGAGTCCCAGCTGCATGAACGGATACGGTATGCAACTACCTAGTATGCAAGGACGGAGCCGGATATGGAGTCGAGAGTTTGATGTATAGACAACTCTGCAGCAGCACCGCAACCTCCTCTCCTCGATTGCGGACATGGGATTGGCCGTGACTGCGTTGAGCAGGCAGGGGGGCCACTTGCGAGTCAAATCAAGCCATCCCACGTAGGAAATGGGCTGGCTGATTTGACGCAAGAAAAAAGATGCATCAAGTACATGCTACAAAGCACAAGGTGTGTAAGGTAGAATGTCGCGCGGCCTTGGGATCAGATGGGAGGGAGGCCTGGACATGATCATGATTAGTTGCACGGGAGCTGTTTGGTTCTCCCCCGGAGCAAAAGTGCGAGCACAGCGGTCATGTTTCACAGCAACGGACGATGGCATCGTGGAGAAAGAAAAGTGAGGCTGGGAAAGCTTGATTTGGGATGCGACAATCCGCTTCGATCTTGTCTCAAATCGCCGGCAGCCATTGGCGGCGTCCACCCCCGCTAGCATTGGCCTGACCACGAAGAGAAAAAAGGCAAAAAGCAAAACCACGATAAAGGCCGGAAAAAGAAGAAAAGGCGGGGGAGCACGAGCTGTCAACACAACACCACAGCAAGTAAGAATGAGGTAGACAAGACGCAACAATAACATTTCGAGTGCGGTGAGCCTAATTTAGGCCTCGTTGGGAGCAATCGTCCGGCAGAATTTTAGCTGTGCCCGCTTTGGCGGTGGCTGCTGTGGGCGTAACATCGATTGGCTTGCAGCAGCATTTCATGTCCTCTCGTACTCGGTACATGACGCAGCGGCAGCCGGTATAACCAGACCAGAACGGAACAGAGACGATGCATGTATGGATGTACACATGCGCTGTTGTGCGCCCGCTGGGTACAAAGTATAACCTGGTATGGGCTGTTTTGTGTATACTTTTTCCCATGGCGCCGCCTCTTCGATGCAACTACTGGGGAAGACGCCCTTGCATGGACTACAGTATGACTATGACCATCCAGGAGTAGCACCGAGATGCCGTCCTTCGTCGAGCGTGAATCCATCCATCAGTCAATCAATCAATCCAATCCGCAAAGGTGCTAATGGAGGCAGCCGTGATGATCAGACAGAGAGGCAGTGCCCTCCTCCTCACCAGGCACGAGGACGAGGCATCAATCACTCCAGTCGTCCAGACTGTCACCGGCCTAAAAAGTCCTACATGAATGACCAACAGCAAAAAGAAGTGGGTTTTAGCGCGGCCTCAAGGTGGTTCCCCGATTTAAGGGTCCTCCGGCTGTCTCGCGGTGGGTTCCAAGCCAAGGCAATAGCTGGCGGAGATGGGGGTTGCAATCCGTCGACGCTAGAACTCGCGGAGCCTTGAAGTGCGCACCTTGCGAGGTTTCCATGTCCAATGCTCTCCCAGGGTGTCATTGTGTACGAGCGCTTTGTATGTATGTACAGAGAGGTGCTTTGTACTGTTACAGACTCGTACGTGCTCATCTCGGAGCCTGCTTGGCCACGGCTTGCTAGCCGCCCTTCGTGGAGGTCGCAGTGCATGTACGGTGTCTGTCTGTCTGTCCCGTCAGTAGTACGAGTACAGACGAGCACTAATTGTAATTGATCCGTATCCATTGCAAAGGAGGGAGCAAATGATATGATAGGTACCTTATGATGCATCAAACGAGCGACTTTGGCTGCAATGCGCCGGCCGGCTTCTCTGCTCTGCCACGACTCGCACAGATGCACGGTGATGCAGCACGCCATTCTCGGTCTATGTTTGACAAAGCACTCGCCGGGCTCCTTCTAGGCAGTTCCGCCTGCGAATGAATCATGATTCTAGCCTCGAATCTTATTCCCAAGTACCGGACGGGACTTGGTCGTAGCGCAATGATGCGAGTCTCTCCCAAATGCACGCCAGCCGATCCCCGGCCCCAGCGGTATCGTTTGTATGGCTGGCCCGGAGCTTCACTGCGCTGCACGACCCCAAACGCTGCCGCGATAAGGGTGAGGTGAGAAAGGGGCGGCAAAGAGACGGTGTCCTTGCATCCGCCAATTCGACGAGCGCGTTGTCTGCAGGCAGAATTACGAGAATTATATTGTCGGATGCTGGATTGCACAGTATTGGTTGCTGATTGCCCGGCCGCTATCGCTGCTGCTATCAAATCTCTTATCTCGAATGCAAGACTCCATCCAATATCGCAGTCAGCGACGCAACAGTCTGCAAGGCCGCATCAGTGCTTGTGCCGCTTGGCGCCTCCGGCGATTCCACACTCCATCAATAAAAGGTAGGCGTCCTAATACAGTACCCATCGTACCAGTTGTACATGATTAGTACGTACATGCATTGGATGCGCTCCAGCACCGCACCCTTATCAGCGCAGCTGGTGGTTGTTCCATCATTGATGACAATTGGCCTACTAATTGGCGTCTGCATTCTGCGAGCAAACTGCGCGAGTACATGTACATTGATGCCGTGTGCCGTAACTTTAGCGAGTGCCGACCTATTTGCAAAAGTGCTCAGTGATCCAAGTCCCCTGCCTGGTAGCAGATGGACGTTTTCTGCGGTGGCGCATTCTCGCTCAGAGGTACATACGAGTACGGGCTGCATCATCATGATGGATCAATCTTCTTCTTCTCGAACCATTTGATCCACGAGTCCGCTTCGGGCTTTGGGTGTTCTGCAGGTACCGCGCCATATGACATGGGGCCCAATTACGCGTGCGTTCCGCGGGGAAGCCTGTTAGGGATGTACTTGCGATATACTTCCATGCCGCCCGTCGTCCTGCACGAGTACAGGTACTCTTAGTACTTCGTGCGTCACAAGGTACTCGTACAAACAAAGAGCGGTACGAGTACGTGAACGTGAACATCGATGAATATGAGCACAATGCCCAGTCCAGTCGTTTGACGGGGGACCCGCCGGCTTTAGCGCCGACCTGCTATCAATTCAAGGAGCTGGTACAGGTACTTTGATACTCCGTAGATTGCGGCAGATTGCGGCAGCGACCCCCTGCGCTGATGCGCTCTGGCAAGCCAAAGAATCCAAAGGCCAAAGAGGTACCCAGTACTGCGCAACCCCGTCCGCGGCTGCTGCAGTACCCGCCACTTCGCAAGTCGCTCTAGGTACCTACAACGGCATCACGAGCCCTTCACAGGTCATCCAGTCCAATGCAGTGACCTTCCGCTGTGTGTCTCGTTCTCGTCTATCTCTCTCTTTTTTTCCCTCTTGCAGCCACGGCGCCATCCTCTTCCATCTCCTCGCCATCCTCTTGCTTCTTCTTTTTTTCCCTCCCTTTTTCTTTTTCCGTTTCTTTTATCCCCGGCCTTATTTCTAATCTTACCTTTCTCCCTAAGTTTTTCTTGCCGCACTTCTAGTTGCCGCTTCGAAACCTTCGCACTATCATCCTTATCATCTGACCACCCTTGATCTGGGACCCTCGGTCGGATCGATCACACAGCCCAAGACCAGTCCTGTCAGTTTGGCTTTTCGCCCCAAGAGCAGCCCAAACCCCATCAAGCCCGCCTAGCTTGTGGCGTCGGTACCTACGCCGTGCTATCTGAGTCTCAGTCTGCCGTCGTCGTGCGTTATCTTGCTCCTTGTACCTCGCTGCATGGGCGATAACCCAATAACGACCCCCGGCCCTCGTCTCCATTCTGCATCACTGCGCTGCAGCCTCTTGAAAGCCTCCCACGCAAACGCCCCGCAAACCCAGCGTCCATCAGGGTTGGCTGCTTCGAGTCATACTTGTCGTCGTCTTGCGTCTTCGCCAGGCGACAGCGCTCCATCTCCATCCAGGTGCATCTCATCCGCCTCCTAGCTCCAGCGCTGGGCTCTCTCGACGTCTCTCTCTCGAAACCTGACCAGACCAGACGAGACGAAGCTACCGCTTGCCAGTGCGCCGTAGCACGGCTGTCTTTCAAGGTGTTAGTCACGCCCTCCCCCATCCTTGTCACCCCCAGCTTGCAGCAGCTACTGTATCCCTTCCGATCCCCAACCCGGCCACAGGATCCTGCACGCCGGCGCTCGTCTGACTCGGCTGCGGTCTCTCTCCGACAGTCCCCTGGCCTTCTTTTGTTTTGTTTCCTGTTACCATCTTTCTCTTTCTCTTTTTATTATTTTTATTTCCTCTTCATCCCGTCCGTCGCCGAAGATACCCTTTTCGCTCCCTCCGTTATCCATCTACTCCGTCATATCTGCTGTGTTGCTAACTCTCGTCACCATCGACTCTCAGCAGACCCTACGACATATATACACTCTTCACCTTATCGGACACCTGCCGTTTACCTCATACCATCGACGACTTTCCATTCTGGGTCTTCGATTCCCGCTACACCGACTTCCCATCTTGTTTCATCTCCCCTGGCCCGTTCGCCTTAATAGCCCTGTCTCGTCGCGTCTCATCCAATCTCGCCCTTCTACTCCATCCTTTACACTCTTTCTGCCCGTCTGGAGCTTCTTCCATCTAGGACTACATGACAGCTTCGTTCGACGGCACACACCCTCGAAGCTTGTAAGCCCCCGGGCTGTGACCGACCTCGCTCTCTTCCTGCCATCGACAACGTAACACAGGAAGCAATGGCGAGCCGACAGGATGGTTCCTCCCTCGGCTCCCGGCGGTCGGGTGGACGGAATGTAGGCCAGTTTGCCATCGACAAAGAGATTGGCAAAGGAAGCTTTGCGCAAGTCTATATGGGCTGGCATAAGGTGCGATGAACCCTATCCTAGTCATGTTTCACCAGCCAGTTTGCTCTCCGCCATCGTCAACGGTGTACCCTCTTTGCATGCGGTCAGGTTGTCCTAGCCGGCTTGACAGCAACTCTCATCTCTCCTCGCATCTTCACCCCCAACCATTCCTTCTTCATTGAGACGCGCTTGCTAACCATGCTTTGCATTCAACAGGAAACAAAGGCTGCAGTGGCCATCAAATCCGTCGAACTAGATCGCCTGAACAAGAAACTGAAAGAAAACCTATATGGCGAAATCCAAATCCTCAAGACCCTACGGCATCCGCACATCGTTGCTCTCCATGACTGTCTCGAATCCGCTACACACATTAACCTTGTCATGGAATACTGCGAGCTCGGTGACCTTTCCCTCTTCATCAAGAAACGTGACAAGCTCATTACCCATCCTGCCACCCACGACATGGCCCGCAAGTATCCCAGCGCCCCTGACTCTGGCCTTCACGAGGTCGTCATCCGCCATTTCCTCAAGCAGTTGGCGAGTGCCCTGGAGTTCCTACGGAGCAAGAACTACGTCCACCGAGATGTCAAGCCGCAGAACCTCTTGCTGCTGCCCTCACAAGCATTTAGGGAAAAGCGAAACCTCCCCATCATGGAGGCAAGCCAGGATTCGTTGATACCAATGTCCGGCATCGCTTCCCTGCCGATGCTGAAGCTTGCTGACTTTGGATTCGCCCGTGTATTGCCCTCAACGTCTCTCGCCGACACCCTTTGCGGCTCACCCTTGTACATGGCCCCTGAGATCCTCCGTTATGAGCGGTACGACGCCAAGGCTGACTTATGGTCCGTCGGCACTGTCCTGTATGAAATGATTTCGGGGAAGCCCCCTTTCCGCGCGAGAAACCACGTCGAACTGCTGAGGAAGATAGAAGCTGCCGAAGACGTCATCAAGTTCCCCAAAGAAGTGATCATTACATCTGAAATGAAATCCCTAGTAAGAAGCCTGCTCAAGAGGAGCCCCGTGGAGAGGCTGAGCTTTGAAAACTTCTTTTCCCACCCCATCGTCGTTAATGAGATCCCCGGACTGGTCGAGGATGACGTTCCAAGGCCCGCCAGGCGTGAGCCCAAGTCAATCCCCCAAGCAGAGCCTACGGCAACGTCACCGCGCGTTGGCTCTCTGCGAAACGGAGGCTTCGAACCTGCGCCTGCCCGATCGTCTCGGGAGCAACTGCCTCGGTCATCGCCGCTGATGGAGAGTCCCAGCGAGGGCCGACATCGGCCGCCCTCCGGTGAGATTCACCGACGGTCAAATTCACCCCGGGAGACTGGAGCCGCAGGCCTGGGTATTCAGCGCCCGACGGTACCCCATGCAGCATCACTCCCGAATCATCCCAGGGTTTCTAGGCAGTCTTTGCACAACACCTCGCCGCCTTCCTCCTTAAGCCAAGACATCCGCAAGGCTCGGATTCCAAGCAAGGCTCTGACAGAGGAAGAGGAAAAGGCGGCTCAAGATGTCATGTTCGAAAGGGATTATGTGGTTGTTGAGAGGAGGCACGTCGAAGTAAATGCGCTTGCAGATGAGTTGGCCGCAAACGAGAAGCTCGCCTCGCAGAGCCCGACTTCTCTGAAATCGAAGCCACTGGTCAGGCATTTCTCGCAGCAGGGGCCCCCAAATTCTACCACTGGAGCCGTCGCAGCTCCCCCATCGCGGACGCAGCTTATCACGCAGGGCCGGGCCGGCCAAGACCGGCGCTCGTCGTACGAGAAGGCCTTGTCTGCAAGCCCCGGGTCGGCTTCGAGCGCCATCACCAAGGCTATCCAGGATGCCAGCCTCCGCCTGTTTGGTGTCAGGATGCCCATTCGCCCCAAGGGTCAATCTCCACCAATGTACCAGCCGTTCCCGGCATATCCGACGCCGCCAACCTCGGCCGGACTCATTGGAGACGGGAAGAACATTGCGTCAGAGGACGACGATGTCCGCTCCGCGCAGGTCATTGAAGACCTCGCCACCCGAAGTGACTGTGTCTATGGATTCGCCGAGGTCAAATACAAGCAGCTTGTCCCCATGGCACCATCCACAAATCATGGACTGGGAGGCATTGCAGCCGACCAGTTATCAGTGGACGACGAAGGTCTTACAGCCGAAGCCGTGGTGGCACTCTCTGAAGAGGCTTTGGTACTCTATGTGAAGTCACTTTCTCTTTTGGCACGGGCCATGGACATTGCCAGCATCTGGTGGTCCAAGAAGAGCAAGGGAGATGTTACCACCGGCCTGTCGGCGGCAGTCTCTCAGTCTGTCGTCCAGCGCATTAACGCCGTGGTCCAATGGGTGCGACAGCGCTTCAATGAGGTGCTGGAGAAGTCCGAGATTGTTCGCTTGAAGCTCATCGAAGCTCAGAAGCAGCTGCCAGAGGACCACCCAAGCCACCCGTCAAACCAAGGAGTGGACTCGATCATGTCCTCGGCAGGATCTGGGATGGACCAGGTATACCTCACACCAGGCATCACAGCTGAAAAGCTGATGTATGACCGAGCTCTCGAGATGAGTCGAACTGCGGCTATTGATGAAGTCACAAATGAGAACTTGCCTGGTTGTGAGATTTCATACATCACGGCCATCCGCATGCTCGAGGCTGTGTTGGACAGCGGTGATGACGCAGGTCTTACACGAACCAAGGAGAGCTGCAGCGATCTCGAGAGCGATGAGGAAGCTCATATCCGAAAGAGTAAGTTGTCTCGTTTGTATAGACCAGCCAGTCCCAGAACAAATAGCTAACAAAATTGCTAGTGATTACTATGATCTCAGGCCGGCTTTCCATGGTCCGCAAGAAGCAGCGCATGATTGCCGAAGCCAACAGCAGAACACAACTAACCCGTCGACGAAGTGGCGATGTTACGCCTCGCAGTCCTCTCTCACAAGCGTCGACTTAATCTGACTGCGCGAAGAAGAAAAGAAGTCTTAAAAAGCAGCAATAGCAGCACACATCAGATACGATACGATAAACAAAAGGCAAACCCCTACATAACACTGGAAGCCTCACGGCTGGACATTATTTGGACGACACCAGTATTATTGCTCGAGGTCCCGAGCACCTCTTTCTCTTTCCTTCTATGGGTTTTGCCCCTTTCTTTTGAAGGCGTTGAGGCAGCTTGCAAAGACAAGCACCAGAACAGAATCCCCGCTCAGGTAATGGAAGCGGGCGTTTGGATGATTATTTGATATTTCAGTGTTTCAAGGTTTTAGGCATATCCATGGCCAGGCGTTTTATTATATTTCTACTTTTCATTTCGTTTATCCTCTTTCCCAGCCAGGGTGTGGCTGATTATGTTTTATTCTCTTTGACTTGGTTTTTCTTTCTTTTTATTTTTGGTCTAGGGCTATACTGCATATCCGAAGCCAGGGAGGCCAGTAGCTACTAGCAGGCGCAGACGACCAAGGGATTGAGCAAGAGAGTGAGCACGCGTTTGCTCTTGTATGGAACAGCTCTGATCAGCAGTGTTTCCTTTGCCTTCTTACCTTCTCTTCACACTCATCTTCTTTCTCGTTATAAGCTCTAGTAATCTCTTGTCCATCTTTGGCTTTAGCCATTTATTGTTGCTATTTTCTGGATTTTGGGATACTTTTCTATCGTTTTTTTGGGACATGGCAACGGGCAACGTGGGTTCGGATGGGTCTTTCTTCAAACGGGACGGTATCGATATGTGACCAAGAAAGAGTCACGGGTAGCGGTGGGAACGGATATGGGCGAGGACTGGTTTTTGTGCGTGAATTTGTATGATTTTAGATTGTTGCGTTTCAGCGCGTAACCTAGTCCATGATACCAATACCATTGCTGCCAACGTTTTTGGAAACTTGTGCGTTTGCTCCTGGTTCTCCCGCTTTGTGATGTTGTGCGCCTTGAATAAGTCTTTGGGTTGGTGAGTGAATGTAGTTTACCTACGACGGGACGGGTTTACACAAAAGTAATTCACTACAGGATGTTTCAAACGGTTGCGTTTTCAGACTTTCACTTTGTGTTTAACCACCTCCTTGTACATTTTAAACACTACGAAGGAGCAGAGAATGTGTATTCAACGCAAGACTCGTTCCGTCAAAATGTCTGCGACTCAAATTACACAAACGCCACTCACATCTAATCATCCGAGCCAACCATCCAACTCGTATCTCAAGAAAGCAGAGAAGATAAAAGACGATCACCAGACAGCAGACCTCTTACTCGCAATCAGCCATGCCGCTGTACAACGCCAACGGGAAAGCATTCAGCAGCGAGAGAACCAGAAAATCTTAGACCGGAAATGGAAGGAAGAACACGTATTGAAACCCCAAATGGAACAGAAGAGGGAGCTCGAGGCAGAAGAAAAGACCAAGGAGTTGGTGGCGGAGCTATTTGAGAGGGAGTTGACGCAGTGGAGAGAGCAGCGTGACAAGGCTTCAGCGAGAAACTATCTTTCGAGAGCAGAGGTTGATGAACAAGTACACAGATTAGTGGAAGCAGTAATCCAGTGCATCGGCATGGAAAAGCGCCGCATGGAAGACGGGACGGAAGAACCGCACGAAATCTGGCGCTCAAGAATGATTGCCCTTCGAAAGCAAATAACCGCCGTCTGGAACGACAACGACAGAAGGATACTCATGGGCGTGCCGCGGTATGTAGAGGGATATCCGGTCAGGGAAAGGATTCGGCCACCGATTTTTTTGGCGTTGAGGAGGCAGAAGATGTCTGGGCTGAGAGGGTGTTTGCAATGTGAAGTGAAGGGGTTGATGTGTTCGATGAGTGTGCAGGGGAGGGTGGTGGGGGAGGAGGTGATGGATAGGGGGTGTAAGAGGTGTGAGGGGGATGGGGATCGGTGTATTGTTGACTGTGAGCTCGTTGAAGAGGTGGAGGAGGAGGGACAGTGGAAGGAGAAAGTGAGCCATGTGTGGGATTGGTGGGATGGAGCTCCGGAGAGGGAGGAGGATATGGATTCGGCGGAGGAGGCCGTGGAGATGTGGGAGCGCCGACGAAGGGGAGCGAGGCTGGAGTTGGTAGGGGGCGTCATGCAGTGGGTTGAGGTCAGGGGCTTCGCGCCCCAGGGTGGTGACAAGAGCGATGGTGGTGACAATGGTGTTGCGAGCTCGATGGCTTGATTCAAAGAGCGGCATGCTTATTTCTGTGCATTGCAGAAAAATAGAAAGTGCTGTTTGAAATGTCTCATTCTGAGGAAGCTGGTGATATATCTGAAAAGCATCATCTGGACTCTCTTGCATATCTATCTTCTAGATGGAGTCATAAACCTACCTAAGTAATTTCATTTCTTTTCAATCCCCGACTCAAAGAGAGTCCAAATCTGAAAACATTCACTCCTAAATGAGTCGACTCATTCGCAGCAGCTCACATCTGCAAAGCACACATCTTCACTGGAGAGATTGCCGTTTTTTCCCCGCAGGAGTGAAGCCCTTACTTTCCTCGCCTCCAGTGTCCCCATTCTCCATAGCAGCCTTCATGGTATCAGTCAGAAATTTTGCATCCAGTCTCTTCAGCTCTGCCAAAACATCTTGTCTGTGAGTCTTGGAGTGTGGTGGCTTCAAGTGCCTGTCAAGGCCAGGTAGAGGGAGCTGAAGCACATCGCAAACTCGCAGTTGATGGAGTGTCATGATTTGGGGCTCTGGCTTGCGGTCTTCGCTATGACGATCCCGAAGTGGTGTATTCTGGATCTGTTCCTCTTTACGAGTCACATCGGGGCTTTCTTTTGCCAGCTTAGGCTTACATTTTAACACACTAGATTCATGCGGTGGCGACAGTCCTGGCAAGGGCCCTAGCCTGGCCGCCTTTATATCCTGTTGGAGATCTCGAAAGTATCCAGACGTCTCTGTGTAAGGTGGCGAGCTCCACCGTATCGATTTATGGGCACTATTGGTAGATAATTTGGTAGGTGCTGATGGGAGTGGAGGAGATTGAAGGCTGGCCAAGTCCCAGGGCATTGGCTTGAGCTGAGTGTCGTCACCCAGGTCTGATAGGCACCGTCTATCAAGTTGTTGAAAGAATTCAAAGTGTTTTTGCGGTGTGCAAAACCAATCGTGGCATTCTGCCTCAGCAGCAGTTATTCGGTTTACCGGTGTTAGCTGAAGGCATGCCAAGGTAAATCTCTGGCTATTCGAGGAACGTTTTGGCGAGATTTCTTTGATCATAGCCTTCACCATCTGTTCAATGGATTGTTGATCTATGCGAGTCAGATTTTCGAAGCTCTCCACATCAGAGGTCAGCAATCGCAGCGCGACAAGGCCAAGCGACCACACATCTACGGCGGTAGTTTGGGCCTCTCCGGTTGAAAACAGTTCTCTGTAATATCCTTATTAGCCAAATATTTGCTGAAAAGGCAATAGATTCTTCATCTTACGGAGCCCTGTATTCGAATGTACCAATATCCGTCACCATTCGGCTGCGGCGAGGAACAGCGCAGGCACCAAAATCCGACAGCATAATTCGATGGTAGGCTATCTTGGGGGAGTACGCCAGCAGTATGTTTTCCGGTTTCAAATCTCTGTGGATGATGCCCTTTCTGTGAAGATAGGCGAGGCCGCGTACCACTTGTCGGAGAATAATTCGACAGTCAAGCTCTTGAACAAATTCATGGCGATTGATGAAGGAGACAAGATCACCTCCGGACGCAAGCTCTGTGAAAATGTACCTAGTCATATAATCAATATACTGGCGTTACCCAGCAGGCGTGTAAGATTCGGAGCTCACAGAGAGTGCGGAAAAATAACAGCATCAATGTAGGGCAAGATGTTGGGCTAGAGGAAGTTAGCATCCTGTTGAGACGTCCAAGTCTTCATTAGAAGCAGACTCACGTGCTTGAGCTGACGAAGAACATCAATCTCCTGAAGCTTCCGATATAAATCCTCTCGAGGCATCTTGCCATCTTGTCTACCCAGGTTGACTAGCTTGCAGACAAGCTGTCGCTTAGTCTTTGATTCGATGGCCAAGTAGACAGCTCCCTCTGCGCCGGTGCCAAGGCATCGTGGAGATATGATGTATTCGTTTTCAAAAACCTTTACTTGTCAGAATAAATGAACATTAGCAACCAAGGCAAGGAGAACGAACTCGGCATTCGTCTTTCTGAATGGCCGTTAGTGGCCGAGGTGGAGGCGTTCGAGGTTGGTGGAAAATGAACTTCCAATAGGGTCGAATTTCAATGGAATCACCATCCTGTAAGAGATATCCCGAAGATATCTGGGGGCCAACGCCGATAATGTGGCCGTTGACAAAAGTTCCATTGATAGACTTGCGATCTCTCACATAGACGTGGTTGACTGATGGTTCGTAGACAATCACGTATATCTCACAGTGATTTCGAGACACGAGGTTTTCTGAGTCAGTCTGAATAGAGAAAGCGCTGCAAGTATCATCAGCAACGCAACTCCACAGACCAAATATTGATCCACAGCCTACTTGGCATCCGGGTCTCGCCCAATCCTGAAGATTTCTTGCTCCTAGATCGGAAATTCTTCAATAGGCTGGTCACTGATCCGGCTGTCCACCAAGCGGAGATATGCAGCGGGCAATTCACAATCATCATCGCAGCTGTTGTCTAAAGTAGCTGTTGGAGCTTCCATGACGAGCAATTCAGTATCTCAAGAGATATCAAGAGAATTCAAGGTGCATAGAAGGTCGGCTAAAGGATCAATAAATTCACGAATGTATATTTGAAAGAAGAAACCCAGAATTCCCAAATTGATTTTCCTCTGCTTTCCTATCGACGCTGCTACCCTAGAAATTCAAGAACACCAGTAACCAACCGACTTACAATGCCACCTTCGCTCCTGCCCTCTCAGTTGCTCCATCATGAAACGACACACAGTACATATACGGTGTTCACTCATATAACCTGCACAGTGTATGTTGATACCCATGCACGGGCCTCAGTGAGGGGCCCACGTGATACCCGGGGGGTTTGTGCCCTACAGCGGCCTTGTCAAAGTGCTTGAAATTCCCCCGCTCTCGCGAAAGTTCCTTTCTTGTACCTCATCCCAACAACGATTCTCATCAAAGAACAAGTAAGGTTTCCTCCCCCGCGGCGCATTTGAAGCCATTTCGCATTGGCAGAAGGCATTGGCGTTGCGCCAATGCTTCTTTTGATGCGAATGCCGGCCGCCTCACTGCTAGAACCACCCCACTAACGAGAGCTCCCAGACGCATCGTTCAAGATGAGAGCCAAATGGAGGAAGAAGCGCGTTCGTCGCCTTAAGCGCAAGAGAAGAAAGATGAGGGCTCGCTCGTAAGTATCATCCAATTTGCTGTCGCCGCTGCACAAGAAGCTTGAAGCTAACTGGATAACTAGCAAATAAACGACTCGCTCTACTACCTGACTTGACACATCTTTCACATTTTGAATGAGTTCACGATAAAACGACAAGCAAAGCTGCTGCACCACGGTACCACTCTATGAACGATTACGACCATCAAGTTGGAATCGACATATCGGTGCGCCTCGCCAATTCAGCTATGGGAGTCAATGGACGAACGCGAGAGATGAGGACTGGACAACTTCAGCCAGGTGGAGACATCGTTTTGAGGACGCGAAGGCCATGAAGCAAAAAGCTGCTGCAAGAGGCACGCTTAGGATCGATACGTTGCTTGACAAGATCAAAGGCAGAATTTACTTCATTTCCAAACCATTTCTAAAGCTCCTACGTGACGTACTTTTGTCGTAATTGTTACAATAGTAAGCACCATTGAGCTGGCGAAGCTATGATGCTCGTGTGACCTAATTTCTCCAATACAGTTTGTGTGCGAGCTGGCACCTTGCTACCGATGGAGCTCTGCAGCTATGCTCCCCTGCTGCCATTAGTGACGTACATTGCTGGGACTTCAGCTGTGTGGGGGTTTCGTCTCTCACCGCCCGCTCGGGTAAATACCGGCAAAAGATTTCCTGCCGCCCGATAACCAAAATTTTTTGGAGCAGATATCCCACTTGGCATCAAATTCAGGTCGAAGAAACATTGCAGACGCTCAACGCAAAAATGTCGGATCTCAGCAACAAGAAGAGAAAGCGAGACGGGGAAAAGGCTGGTTCTGCAAAGAAAAAGGTCGTCATTGACGCACCGGCCTCAATTGCAACCGTCTCCTCTGTTCTCCGGCCCAAATCATGCCCTCCTGTGATTGGTATGCGGCGCATTTCATTGTCGAATTGGGTCGTTTGCGCATATGCTGACAATCCATATAGCAAACACTCCAGGAATGGAAATGCCCTCGAATTTGGTCTTTAACTCATATATTCCCAAGAATGCCTCTTCAAAGTCCAAAAAGGCAGCCGACAAGGCACTCTTACTGCACTCCACGACGCACCGGAATCTGGACTATACGGCAAGAGAAGAAGAGTCGCGCGACTCAAAGCCGCTCCTGAACCACTTCATCGGCATCTACGACCCAAAGACTGGCAAATTGCAAGTTGTCGAAGCGAAAAAGATGGTCGTACGAGGCGCCGTCCGCTCTAAACAAGTGCCAACTTCTGCAGATCAGACGGAAACCAAGAAGGTAAGGACTCCCTTCTCAATGCGAAAACTTCCGGATATACGATGTAAAATACTAACATACAACAGAGCATCATGGACCAGAGGACAGATCTTGGACAGACTTTCGGAACGAAGAAGGCCAAGAAGGTCATCCAAGACAAGGTGTTGAACGCCATCGCTCCGCAGAAAAAACCTGGCGACTTCAGCACGCCCAAGTTGGACGATGCCTCCAAGGCAATTCTCAACTCCATCGGTGCAGTTACATCCACAATGGCCTCAAGAGAAGAGCTGCAGGCAGTTATCGACGAAGCCAAGCCAGTACCCAAGGCGAATCTCGACGCAGAAGACATTTACGACGTATACCGCCCCGAGGAAATCATCGGAACAGATATCCTCAACCTTGTTCCTATCCGAGAATGGCAGGAGAAGGCGAAACACGGCGAGAGCATCCAGTTCCGCTCTCGATATGTTGTCTCTCGCGTGCAAGCCATTGCCTCCAACGAAGATGCCGAGATGCGGCTGCGCGTGCTAAGATACCTTTCTATCGTTCTCCTGTTCTATCTCTACTCAAAACCCGGCCGCCAAAAGGGCACTCGGCAGTTGCCGCCCAGAGAGAAGCTCCGGGAGCTGCT